AAAGAGAGAGAAAGAGAGAGAAAGAGAGAGAAAGAGAGAGAAAGAGAGAGAAAGAGAGAGGGGTATGTGGTGGACGGGGCTCACCGTCTTCAAGGCTCGTTTTGTTTTCGGTATACGGTATGATACTTCGAGCCGAGCCCACTGCGCCAGGAGCTCCTCCGCCTTCGCGTGCAAGTCGACGTCCGTAGATCCGACGCACGCCTTCACGGACTCGTCGACCTTCGAGTCTTGGATCTTATTCCGTGATATGAGGGGCCATGTCGCCATGCACTCGAGCGCCTATCGACAAATAGACAGCAACGCCAGTTAGAGCCGCCATATTGACAAGTCTGAGAGACTGAGGGAGGGTATACGCACCAACAACCGTATCTCGTCGTCTTTAGCGTAGTCTTCCAGCAGATTCGTCATGAGACTGAAACCACGCAGACGCATGACTTGACGCAGAGCAAACTGGTCGTCGGTGATCTAGCGGACGAATATGTTCAACGGGACTTAGAGGAGGGCGAGGGACGAAGAGCAAGTGGACTACGGACCTTGATACGCGTGAGCAGTTTGAACATGACTTTGCGGCTCTGAGTCTGTCGCATGGCCTGAACGACCTTCGGGACCTCTCGCTCGAGCAGTGGCGTCATCAAAGGCTAAAACCAGCCAGCCAACCGCCCAATCAACATCGTGACTTCAAACCTTTAAAAACGCTCCTCGAACTCACCACGAAATCCTCGTCCAACTTCTTTCCCTTCTTCTTCTTACTCCCCTTCAACCCCAACCTATCCACCTCGTCCGAAATCCCCAACGCATCCAAATACAAATCGTCCATCGCCGCCAGGTCCGTCTGCGTCTTCCCTCCGATGAAGCCCACGCACTTCGGCTCGCCGCAGTAGCACGGCTGGGCGTCGTGTCCGTACCGGTCGACGTTGTAGTTGAACGTGAGCTCCTCGTTCGCGCGGATGAACCGGTTCGCGAAGATGCCCATGCGGATTCGGGACCCGACCGTCCATTTCGCGACGTAGCAGTTTGGGTTGCAGGAGTGGTTCGCGAAGCGGCCGATTCCGCCGCGTTTGGTCGCGTCGATGTACTGTGGATGACAGAGTAAGGAAGCAGCGAAGGGAATAGGGGTAAGGCGGGGTATCGAGAAGGAGGAGAAGGAGGAGAAGGAGGAGAAGGAGGAAACGATGAGGAAGATAAAACGGACCTCGTCTTTCTGCAACATCATGAAGTAGAAATGTCGAATACCCTCCTCGGCATATTCTCTCATCCGCTTCACGAACGTCGGGTGCGAGATAACATCGCCAACATACTCGTAGATGAACGTATCCCTGTACACCACCCGGGTCAGAGTCAGCGCAATACAGAAGTTGAAGGACATACTTTCGCAGATCAGCCGCCGCCCTCAACCCGAACCCCTTCTTCTCCGTCTGCACGATATCAATCGGAGCGTACTGCAGCCTCTGAAACCTGCACCCATCCCTCTACGTCAGAATGCCCTTTCTTTTGCTTCCACGCGGCCGGGAAGTTCGGAGAGGAAGTGAAAGATAGAACAGAACGTACCGTTGATTCCGACAGTAACTCTTACAGCGACAATCGTCCGGCATGCATTCTACCTGGGTAAGACGGTTGATACAGTCCGAGTCGTGACCGCAGGCTATGTCTGGGTCGTCGCCTGCACCTGTGTGCCGATGCAGCAGAAAAAGAAACGAAAGTCAATATCATGTCCGAAAATACCACCGCAAAAACAGCTCTCCACGCTAATTATCAAAACCAAAGGGATATGAAATACAACGACCTGGTATCTCGACAACACCGCTCCCCGGACGCCATAGAAACAAAACGAAAAGCAAAAAGCGAACAAAGACAGAGAAGGAGAGAGAGAAAGCACGTACTGGGATCATAAGTACAATCACACGTCATACTCTCCAACGCCTCCCTACTCCTCCCCAAAGTCGCATACTGATAATGGCTCCTCGTCATCTCCGTAAACGTCTTCATCGCGTCCTCCTCCGCCTTCGGCAGATGGCCAATCAGCTGCGGTCCCGCCTTCTCTGCTCCTCCCCCTGCCTTGCCACCTTTTCCGCCTCCTGATTTTCCGCGCTTGGTGGACTTGGAGGGGGAAGGTTTGATGTCGGCATCGTCGGGATTGGGGTCAGGGGAGGGTTCGAGCGAAGTCTCAGGCTCGTCGATTTCTTCTTCGCCTTCGTCGTCCGGGTCTGGCTTGAGAGCATGTGAGTGTGAGTGTGAGTTGGAAGTGGACGTAGACGCAGAAGGCTCGAAAGGATCGTCTTTGAAGAGGTCTGAGGCTTCCGGGGCCTCTCCTTCTTCGCGTTTGGAGTTCTCTACGTATTCGTGCTTAGGTTGCGGCGAGGACCGCGATAGGTCGTACTTGGGCGAGGGCGGTGGCATCTCTTCGTGTTTAGGCGAGAACGCGGGACCGGGCTCGTCCTCGGGTTCGGGTTTGGCGACGATGTCGCCAAAAGCGTCTACTGTAAGCTCCGAAGACGTAGGCACGCCCATCTCGACATCCTCCCTCTCCTCGTCTTTGATATGTAGAGCATTGGGGGTAGAGGCAGCGTCGTCGTCGTCTGGCGGGGGCTCGAGTTTGATTTTGGAGGGGTATCCGGGGTAACGATATTTCGACATCGTCGGCTCTGTCCTTCTTCTTCTTCTTCACCACTCGATACTAAAGCCTACAACCCTACGAGCTGATGAACGCGTAAAAGAAGAAGCGAAAACAAACAAAGAGCAAGACGTGCGGAAGAGCGCCGTCGTCTATCGATTCCGGAGGTTGCGAGCGTCACGGTAGACGATAGATGATGGCGGCGAGAGCCAAGAATCGACGAGTGGCGTCGGAGTCGGATGGTGACTCAGGCGTCGACGGTTCGGCCGTCGTCGACAGCAAGCACGAAGGCACCCAAAAAAAAGGTGATGCCACTCCGAGCAATGATCACGCTGCCTCGAAAGCGTATGTAAGACCTGCACGAAACCTTAACGAATGCTGTTTCAGGAATTACACGCAACAAGACTTTGTTGAGGTCTCAGAAAGAACTTACGTCGAAGAACTGTGAACTGCGTCCAGGTGGAGGGAGAGTGTAAGTGTAGTAAGCGGATAGGTGGTGTGGTGGCTGTCCGCACGCAGGTACGAAAGAGGAAGGTAGGAAAGAGGAAGCAAGGAGGGGGTCAGCCACAGTCACGAAGAGAAGAGTGTTTCACTTGCGTGGCTAAAAAGGGAATTGGCGGAAAATGGAGCGCACAATAAATGGAGAGTGTCGTAGCGATGACTAGAGCCTTACAATGTAGTGCTACTACGGCAAGCTCAGAAGATTCAGAGGTCGGTCGGGCAACACCAACACCAGCGAACCATGGCAAGTGCAATTCGGAGACGATACAGATCGTAGACAGATCACAAATCACAGACAGCTAGGGCAACAACAACGACGACGACGACCACAACGACACGCAGACTCACGACATGATATGTATAGCGTACAACAGCACCACACTAGCACCTTCAAAGGCCTTCTGGACTCTTGTTTCGCACACACTTCTACACTTATGACACCACCGACAATGGGTCAAACCCAAGGGTGGGATGGGATGACGCCGACGTTCAGCGCCTTGTCTGCTGCGTCTTCTTGGTTTCTGCTTCCTTTGCTTTCTCTAGACATCGAATACGAACAGTCAGCCAAGAGTGTAGGGTACGGTGAAGGGTATGTAGTGATGACTGAGTACTGACCTTCAGCCTCAGCCTTACGCTTCGCCTGCGCGGCCTCGCGTTCTTGACGGATCTTGGCCAGACGGGCAAGATCAGTCTTCGCTTCGTCGGTCTTTCCTTGGACGTGGAGCTGCAATAGAATGAGAGGACAGTGAGTTCGATGATTACATTTACGGTATGGGGAAACGTACCTTCCAATACCGATCCTTCGCTTCTTTCTTCTCCTTCTCCTCCCTGTCCCAATAATCAGTTCAGAAAAACAAATCCAAACATCGACACAGCATTCGGTCACGCACCTCTCCTTCCGACTCAACTGCCTCGGCTCATTCAAATCTGAAATATTCATCTTCTTCGTGACATGGTTCGGGTTCACTAACACATCGTCGTCCCCTCCCTCTCCCTCCTCCCCCTCCTCATCCTCTCCGTCTTTCTTTTCCTTCTTGGCCTTGGTTTTGGGCCCTTGTTTCTGTTTGAGCGCCTTGCGTTCCGCGCGTGTGAGTTCGGGCTGGGCGGCTGCTGAGCCGCCCGCGGCGTCTTCTTCCTCTGAGGACTCTTCTTCTTCGGATTCTTCTTCGATTTCGTCGGAGTCGTCTTCGGAGGAGGATTGCTCGCCACGACTGAGAGAGGGAGAGAAACAGAGGGGACAGGGATGTCAGACTTGGAGGATATATCCGTCGGGAATAGAAAGGGAAAGATCATCATGAAGAGGAGAGGGGAGGAAAGACTGACCGCTTATCCATAGATACCGCTGTCCCGTTCTCGTCGAGACTCAGGTTGCGACTAGAGCACACATCGCACCACGATCACACGATAGGATAGAAAAAAGAGCGCAGAAATTGCATAGATTAACGATCATAATCATAGGACAGTTGGGAGGATACATGGGCTGCTATTAAATACCTGAAGCTCCTTCCACCGCCTCGTTTCGCTTTGCCGTATTTGCCTTGACATAACACGATGAACTTCGGAACTCCTGACGAGCGATGAGAGCGCCACACGGCGGACGGCGCACGTACCTGCGTTTCTGACCATGATTTCAACTTCGTTCTTCGAGGGATGTTAAGGATACTAGATGTGATGGTGGATGGATGGCCGATACGAGCTGTTGGTTGTAACTTGAGACCGTAGATTGGCTGTGGAGGACAGAGGCGTCAAAGACACCAAAGGGATCGAATTTCAAAAGATGGGCAAGATTACCATATCGCGTAATTCACTTGTCTGATAAATCGGAGTTCCAACTAACCTTCCCACGCTCTCTCTCCGCCATCGCTCGCGCCGCTGCCCGACCGTCCCGAACATCACCACACACTTCATCCAATACCGCTCTCCTTCTCGTCTGTGATCTGAGAGGAGAGAGACAAACAATGACGACGATACCAGCGCGTCTTGCGCGCACGACGATGCGGTCGACGAGCCCGGAGATGGCGAGGAAGAGGGTGATTGATCTGTACAGGGAATGGATGCGCGCGGTGAGTGCACTTCGAACCTCCTCGCGCGATGGAGTTGGCTCTGACCTGCCCGAAACTACTTTCTTTTTACGCGGCATTTTTTTTGGACGGACTGTTTTCTTCTTACTCTTCTTTCTTCGTCTTTCTTTTTCTTCTACCTTTTGTGATCGTTCTCTTTTCTTCCCCCTCCTCTCCTCTTCGTGTCATCCATGCCGATGACCGTCGTCTCCCCCTCCTCTTTTTCACCCCTTCTCTTTCTCTCACTTCATCACAACTAACCCCCAGGCCCCCGAAATATGCACCGTCTTCGCGCTCAACATCCCCGCCTCGCAACTCCGCCAAACCATCCGCTTCAAATTCGAACAACACCGTCACGTCACAGACCCCAAAGTGATCGACGTCCTCGTCACGAAATCCCGCATGGAGTACCAGGAGATCATGAACTGCTGGGCGCAGGAACCGCATATTCTTGGGCTGCTGTTGGATAGCGGGAAGACGAGGCCGCAGAGGACGTTTATGCAGAAGTTTTTGGAGGGTATGTGTCTCTCCCTCACCTTTTTTTTTCTGGAGCTATTTGGCAGTGGACCTGGGTGTTTTTTGGGGAGTGGGGGTGGTGTTGAGATTCGACATTGGGATTGTGTGCTGATTGAAGGCTTGGTTCTGTTTAGGTCGGGACGAGGACGCTGTGATTCCGGCCGCGACTGGCTTGTAGTATTAGACGGATACCTACAGACCGAGTATACATTTTTTCTTTCTATTTGACCCTGTGCCAGCGCCGGTTGTCGCGAAGCCTGTTTGCTTCTCCATCCCGCCAACTCTCAACTCTCAACTCTCCACATCTTGCCTACCTCGACCCGGACGTAAATGGTGAGTTTCACGTTCTCCCGTTATTTCACTTTCGCTTTCGTTTCGACTTTTTCTTTACTCTCTATCATGATGAGAATCTTGCCGCCCCAGTCGTAGTGTGTCTCTGACAAGCGCGCTTTGACGATCGGTTCAAGCATACAGCCAAATACTATGCGCTACTGAATTCTTTTTCTTCCTCCTCTCTTTCATCTCGCCTGGCCTCTTCTTTGCACGACCTCGTAACTCGTTGCTGACTCTGTTTCTCTGATCAGTCAGGTTTATTTAGGTATCAAATGCTCGTGGATGTGTGTTGTGCCAGCATCCTACCGGGCACGATGAGATGAATGAGTGAATCATGGTGCATCCGACCCATGAACGCGTCCGCGAACCCATAGTCAGCCTAAATCTGACCACTTGTCGATGGAAAAGTTTAAGGCTGAAAAATACAATACTCGTGCGTGTCATCTCTATCCCCCTCACGCTTTTCTTCACCTTCTTCACTCCTCCATCAATCATCCTTGTCCTACGTTCACCTGGGACTCATACCCTATACACTACATACATATACACAACTATCGAGATGAGAAACTTGCCGCCCCAGTCGTAGCGTGTCTCTGACAAGCGCGCTTTGACGATCGGTTCAATGCATACAGCCAAATAATATGCGCTACTGAAATCCACCCTTTCCCTGTTCTTTCTTTCTTTCTTCGTCACTTTTCGCATTCGTTCGTTTTCGCTCGTGTGCGGTTTGCTGATACCTGAATTCTTCGTTAGGTGATTGTCGATTGCTGTGAGCTTGTTGGAGGGGTAAGTTCCACTTTTACATAAGTTAGCTGGTGCATGCGCACATTCGGACTGTGAATGTCGAATCCCAGTTGCAAGTGAAGGTACTTGTTCATTGTTGAGTATCCGCTATGCTGTGTTCTTGATATACGACGTTCATCGTCACCCTTGGCTTCTAATAATAATCCTGCGTTATTCCTTCCATGTGGCGAATTTGTGGCACGCCAGCGCCTAAATGTCGGAAACGGCGGGACGCAAAAGGGACGCTCCATGTATCTCGTGCCACACGCATCTGACTCTCTTTCTTTCGAACACTTCCCGACGTCCTTATATTCCGTAAATTACTCGAAGATCCTGGCATGATGTCGGATGGTTTGTTGCCGTTCTATGCCTACTGGCTCTGGTGTAGGAAGCCTGGCTGGAGACTAGCGGACCGCGAACACGACGCTCGTGACCCCGCCCTTCACGTCCTCGTCCTCTCCTGACCAAGCTGGCCCACCCCTTTCTGGTCACGGAGGTGGGAGGGGCGGTCAAGTGTTCGTCGATGCGTCCTGGAATAATTACGGGCGGGGAGGTGGACGTCATTGCCGTCCGTTGCTTCTGCTACTCAGGGCATACTTCTGCGGCGCGCTGCCCAGAGCATACGTATTGTGAGTGTTTAGACGAGAACTTGAGCCTTCGCGAAGTATATATTGCGATGGACCTGGTTGCTCGGATGCGTTTGGTCAGGTTGTTCTCGCCATTGTCCATTCTCCCCGCCTCTCGACCAACTATCATAAAATGAGGAGGCCCACCCGTTCGACGGCCTCGCTCGTCGCGACAGCCGCTGCCGTCATGCTCTCATTTGATGTGGCGAACATCTTCGTGAACGCGGCGGCACCTGCAGGCCCATGGGACGCGTTCAACTACGCGCCCGAGTCGAAGACTGTGTATCCGAGTGCGGTGAGGCAGGTGGAGGGGAGTGTGGTTGGTGCGGAGAATCTTGTGGGTGGGGGCGAAGGTGGGAGCGCGGTATTGGAAGGGGTGGGAAGTTATGCGGTGCTTGATTTTGGGAAGGAGGTGCGTCTTTCCTACCCTACATATCGTCTTTGATGATAAAGCCGTGGTGCTGACGCTATGCTTTGGTTTGGCACATAGGTCGGCGGTCTGATCTCCCTGAACTTCGACAACACGACCTCAACATCCTCCATCGCCCTCTCATTCACCGAATCCCCCCTCTTCATCAATCCCCTCCAATCCGACGACTCGACCTACCCCTCCGCCAACATGTCCTACGACGGCGTCCTCTCCGTCCCTGCGCCCCTCTCCACCGGCCCCTGGACGCAACCCCCCTCCCGCCTCCGCGGCGGCTTCCGCTTCCTCACCATCTCCCTCACTGACACCTCGAACGCATCCATATCCATCTCCAACATCTCGTGCGCTATCTCCTTCATGCCGCACTACGACGATCTGCGGAATTATACCGGGTATTTTTATGCGAAGGATACGCTGGGGAGTAAGTTTGGGTATGGAGGCGAGGTGGGAGATGTGGATTTCCTAAGTAAGGTGTGGTATGCGGGGGCGTATACTGTGCAGACGAATACGGTGCCGTTGGATACGGGAAGGATGATTCCGATGGTGGCTTCTCCAGGTGCGCCGCGCTGAGCTATTTGTGTTGTGGTTGTGGTGTGAGTTGGACTGAAGATGGTTCATTGGTTTTTGTGTGGGGTAGGATGGGCGAATAATGCGACGCTGGGTGTGGCGGGACCTATCATTGTTGACGGCGCGAAACGAGATCGGTGAGTGACTATTGCTTAGATTCTGGGATAGACGCATCATAACTCACATGACGCCACTTGAACTTCCACGCAGAGCAGTGTGGCCCGGTCAGTCTCTCTCGGCTGCCTTCTTGCGTTCTTATCGGTATACTGAGACGAGGGTGGTATTGAAGGTGATATGGGCATCGCTGTGCCCACTCAATTCGTCTCCACGAATGATCTGCTACCGACGAAGAACGCGCTGTCCACGATGTTCGCAGCTCAGGATCCTAGCACGGGCGCATTACCCGAGTCTGGGCCACCTCTAAGTCAGACTGTGAGCTCAATATACACCCTTCATAAACTCAGTCCATCCCATTCGAGATACCAGTCTGACGCAAAAATGGTCTGGATGGGCAGGGCAGCGACACCTATCATATGTGGACTCTCATCGGGGCACATAACTACTACACGTACTCTGGAGACCTGGACTGGTTGCAGACGATCTGGACGAATTATACGAAGGCGGTGGCGTTCCTCGAGGGTAAAGTTGATAGTTCGGGTTTGATGAATATTACGGGCTTGAGGGATTGGGCCAGGAAGGGTGGCGGAGGGCATAATGCGGAGGGAAATGCATTGCTCTACAAGGTCTGATCTAGTCCAAAATGCTCCAAGACCTTGTTACTCATTACCCCCCATACGTAGACATTGGTCAACAGCGCCGACCTCGCCAAGACACTAAACTCCTCCGACCTCGCCTCCTCCTGGTCCAGCAACGCCACCGCTCTGAAGTCAACCTTCAACTCCGTCTTCTGGGTCGACTCCCTCGGGATGTATCGCGACAACTCGAGCACGACGCTCTGTCCGCAGGACGCCAATTCCATGGCGATATTGTATAATCTGACGACTTCGCCGGAGCAGGCGAGTATGGTGAGCGAGGGCCTGGAGAAGAATTGGGTCGAGATTGGGGCGGTGGCCCCGGAGTTGCCGGATAATGTCTCGCCGTTTATTAGTGGACTTGAGGTAAGTTTGTATTTGGGGGTCTGCTGTGGTGTGATATGTTCTTACGGTGCGATTGATTTGCGTAGCTGTCGGCTCATTTTGTGGCGGGAAATGCGTCGAGGGCTATGGATCTGCTGCATCGTGAGTGGGGCTTTATGCTCTACACGAATACGAGTGTGCAGTCGACACTCTTGGAGGGTTTCACGAGCAACGGCTCTTTACTGTACGTATCACATTCTATCCTCCATATTCCACACGTCCTCACCTCTAACATCTTGTTCTCCCCGCAGTTACCGTTCCTACCAAGGTACACAACATCTCTACCCTCTCATTCGTTCGTCGAGACTTGACTGACTTAACTCCTCATCGACATCAAGGCTACAACTACGACCCCTCCTACATAAGTCACTCTCATGGCTGGTCCTCCGGCCCAACCTCCGCCCTCACATTCTACGTCCTCGGACTCACCGTAACAGCCCCCCAAGGCTCTACCTGGTCCATTGCGCCACAGCTCAGCGGTCTCGACGCCGCCGAGGGCGGATTCGAGACTCCTTTAGGCTGGTTCGGCGTGCAGTGGAATGTCACCGGTGGCAGTAACAGTGACGACGCGCCTGCAGCATTTACGTTGAAGTTCGATGTACCACAGGGGACGAAGGGGGTGGTGACGTTGCCGGTGGTGGGGAATACGACTTTGGATGGGACGGCGGTGAATGTGGGAGGGGATGGAGTGTTGGAGAGTGGGGGAGGGGTGCATGTTGTGGTTGTGCAGACTTGATGTTTTGAGCCTCGACAAAAATTGGCAACGGATGGTTTTGACGTATCGCAATCGTGTACTTTTTAGCAGCAGCAATGAAAGTAGTGCCTTTTTACTGCGAGAATGTGAGAACTGCAAGTCGGCGTCGAACGAAGAAAGTTTGTTGTACAACACATGTTCGTTGAATTCCGAGTCGTACACCGATCTATACAACACAAGCGAAATAGAATTACCCCTCCATCACAAACTCTTACACACGCATTCTCGCTGCAGAAATCGATGATGACCTCCGGTAGGTAATTCACCCGGACCAGACGGCCTGTACAGAGTGCGAAATCGAGTCCAGTAGTCAGCACAGTAGTAGTAATGCAAGCAGTGAATCGAACTCACGGGACCGGGCTGGGTATAGTTGACTGTAAATCGGCATGAAGGACATGGTCATTAGAGACTTGCGACTCCCAACAGAATTCTGAACAGGATACATACCAGGGACGGGGTACTATAGAGAACGAAAGGCCAGGATAAGCTAAGGAATTGAATAAGTATAATGATCGAAGGACTCACGTAGATGTTGAGGAGAATTCCGGGCTCGTTGCCGGTGTAGACGCCTATTCGAAGTCGGCCGTTAGGATGACAGTTTATATATGGTGAATATAGGCTGACCTGGGATAGCTACGAGGGGACCTGGGGTGCCACTTCCACCGCCAGTGACGGTGACCTGACCGCACGAGAGCTGCAAACGATGATACGGATCAGCAACGAACGAGTCTCAATTGCCGACCGACAGCAATGTAAGATGGACAGGAAAAAGCGGGGCAGGACGTACGTAGAACTGGGCACCACCGAACGTGGACGCAGTGTGCAGCGCGATCGCCTCCATGCGGACGAGGTAGTCTCCCGAGGGTAAGTTCTCCGGCACCGTGAAGCTCACACCTTCAAATAAACAACGTCAATCCACTGATGAGCCTTGAGTCTGGACTTGTAAAGGAGATGAGATAAAAGTTACCTGGCAAGTTCTGTGCAGGGAAGGATATGCTCGACCCGCCGTCGGTCACAGCGGTGATTTCATACACCTTGAACCAGACAGTCCCGGAGCCGTCGAAGGTTGCTGCAGTCTGGCCAGCGGGAGCTTTTGCCATGTAGACGTTGACGACACTGTTATTGCAAGTGGTCAAATAGTTAACTCGGAGGACATGGCAAAAAAGGTATGGAAGGAAGTATTGAGGTGGGGGGGGGAGAGACAGGGAGAGACGGACCCTGGGTGGTATATCGTTCCGTCAGACATGATGCCGAGGGTAGAGCCAGCGGCGACGGTGGCGGTCTGGGCAGTCGGGTTCGTCGCAGTGTCATAGCACCTGAAGTCGGGGCTCGTCACATCGGTGACCTGTTAGAAAAACGCATCCTGTCAACATTTGCATATACCGATTTGCGCTTACTGGACTCTGAGCGCCGAACGTAGACGTACTGGAGCTTGGGTCTCGAAGTTGTTCGTCTCGCGGACATATTCCCAGTCCGCCGTGTCAGTGGTACCGAGGACAAGCGATGGGAAAGTATCTGTCAGAGATGCACCATCGGTTAGTGATACTCGCGTTGATATTGCACTACGGGTGGATAGTTGACGGGAAAATAAGAAGGAGAAGGCCGAGAACGTACAATGGGCGGAAACACTAGCAGCTAAGGCCAAGAACGCGAGGATAGCGGACTTCATGATTTTGATATTGGGTTTACCGTTGACTGAGCTGACCGAGGTGCTGCTGTCGAGGTACGTATTGCCTCGAGCAGTGGCTTTTATAACTGTCCATGCCCTATTCATAAATTCAACCTGGAACGGTCAGTCTGACATGGTCCTTCAATCCGATTTAGACGAAGAAACTTGACGCTGGACACTAAACAGACTCACTCGACTCCGCAATTGTAACACGAGGTCCGGTGCGGCGAAATGGGAACAACGAGCGACCATTCGACTCGGACACGGCACGCCTATCGAGCTCTACAATGAAACAGTTCGTAAGTTTAGAGTCGCAAATGCTCCGAGATGTAAACGAGGCTTAACCCGCTACTTCAATCACGATCCTGGATTAGCTCGCGTTCCGGTTTGAGTTCACCGTCAGTTTGACCATAGTACACTGTGCGAGGGTAATGAGAACATGGGTCAGCCGACAGGATAGGATGACATTGAAACAGCATGCCGAGAGCTAGAAGTCGCTTCAACATCCGAGGGTGAGCCGAAATTCACTGGAGGCAATCCGTTAGCTGGACATGACGATGAAAATAGATAGAAATAGATAGATTTTAGCAAGCGCCTGTCGTCATACGAGAACTATCAAGTGAATATCGATGTACCACCAGCTGCGTAACATAAAAATACCGTTCAGTGAGGTCAGTCGTGATAGTAATGCATGAAGCATGATAATAGACATACTACCGTCGAGAGGCAGTTGCGAGGTAATAAGCCGCGAATAAACCGATCTGGAGCCGAACAGAGTCATTCCGAGTCTAACCGCAAGTTCCGTACGATGGTGATGGCGATGGTTCTACTAGACCTTATTATAATCTCTGCATCTAGATGGTCGTGTTCGAGGGAGAGTTGGGTTTCGCTACAGGCAAGCCTGCAAGCAGTAAGTAGCTCGAGACCAAGCCCAAGCATAAAAGGCCGCGCAGAATGCAAGAGCGGCCACTCATTGACACAGCACTGTTGGAGTTCTATTTTGTCAACGTGACATGGAAAGGGGTCGATAATTTTTAGAACAAAAAAATGTGCAACCACCCACATCCAAACCCATTCCTGAAAACGGCGCCAAATTGCCAATGCCAGTTGACAGTTGACTTGTGGAGGAGCGACTCAGATGCAACGCGAAACCTCGGAGGCTACGTAGTAGAGGCTACTACTGATCATAAGTCCTGCGCCGTAGTTTTATTGCAGTATCTCTGCCTGAATGGTCTGGAACCGGACATAACGCACGAAGTTGAATGACAATTTATCACAATTCAATTCGAAGGCCGTCAACGGGGAATGGAGCGCTACGTCCGCCCGGAAGGGGTAGTAGTACTAGTAAGTCACGCATTATGCCCGAAGCCCTGGTGTATCGTCAAAGTCGAGAGAGACAGCAGAGTAGTATGCGGACGGTACCCGTTCCAGAGTCCTCTTCAAGTTAGGTATTGGGCTAAGGCAGCGAGAATGTTAATGTCAATGTAGAGAGGTGACCCCAATGAGCTGTCCGAGTCGAGATGCCAGTGGGGAGAAGAAAGTTTTAATTTCGAGGGATGAATCCAGAGTCGTTCTCGGAGGATGAGACTCCTGATGCACTTTCTGTCCACGAAGAGTTTGTTGGGTAGAGGTCGTCGAGAGCCACAACTTGAACACGAGCGCCACCAACTTCTCTCGACCCGCGACGTGGACGCAGGGTCACCTGTACTCTGAGTCTGAATCAGTAAACGGTAGGCGGGAGGTCATCTACTTAGCTGTCTTTGGACTGGTCCGCCTAGTGTACGCGTGCAATACGTGCATAGATACAGATGAAGCACTCAGCAAAAAAGGTAGCGAGGCGCGTCGAGCGTGTTACCGTTACAGTACTGCATGACCGGTGACCATCGACCGCGACACCAAGCTGCGGTTGGGTTGTGTACGGTTTGTACCAGCACTGAGCAAGCCCGTGATTCAGAGGAAAGTTGTGCCACTAGAGTTGATTGCGAGCACCGAGCGGAGTTGACTGCGACGAGGAAGGAAGGAAGGAAGGTCATAGAGCCAATCGATGGGGAATCGAGATGGTGGGGCAAAGGCGGAGAAGAACCGGGGACGGTCTTTACGGTCGTCGGTCGAGATCCCATGCCTAATTGCATGGAGATGGGAAATAATTTACAGCAAAGATCCCTGAACATATACATCTGGCCAGCGGTCCGCTCTGTTGGAGGGTGCTGGTTATGTTATGTACTTCAGTCACTGTGGCACCGTCGCACCGTCGCATCGTGGCTTTTATGCGCTCAAGTGATTCGACGTGCAGAGGCTAAATAATAAAATTTAAAAGCGTATGGAGGCAAGGGTGGTGGTCGGCTGTAATGCGGCTCGAGCGATAAACGGATTCGTCAGTGGCCGCTCCGGTGTCTGTTCTGCCAGTGTCGTGTCTGTCAAAACGAGGTCGGTCGAACAAACCAACGGCTGAGAATCACAGCTCTGACCACGACCGCCACCAAGTCCTCCATCCACACCGTACAGAGCCAGGACGAAGTTGAAGATGAAGGCTCGGGTCAGGAACGGGAAGCTACAATGGACGAGTGCCTGGAAGGGCGAGCGGAAAGTGGATAATAATAGTCAAACTAATACTAGTCCTCCTGGGCCGGCGGCAAGCCCAAGCTCGTCGAGGACGGCCACTAGCAGGACTCCCACGGCTCTATTCGCCCATCCCGACAACGGCGACGCGTACGCGACGTCCTCCACGTTCTCCTCCACGCCTTTGCACGCCTCGCACGACGCCTCAGACGACAACGACGACGCCAACGACGACGACGCAGCCTCGGATTCTTCACTTCGCTTTTCGGCGCAGACACACGTGGATTGGGAGACGGAGACCGTTTCGCTCGGTGACCGACTCGGACAAGGATACTACGGCGGATTGCAACTGAACGGCAGCGGTCTTTCTATCGGCCATCAGCCTCATCAGCCTCCTCATCATCTTGACGACGACGACGAGAACAAGAACCGAAGACGGATCTCGAGCCTGAAGAATATCCCGTTCGCACGAAGTCCACAGTCCCCGACCAAGATGTCGACCTCTTCGTCCTCTCTCAGGAACACTAACAACAACCCGCCCTCGCGCACCGGCTCGACGTCCGCAACGTCCTCTCGCCGTCGTGCAGAACGCGAGAACCTGAGTCTGAGCGGTACTGGTAGTAGTGCTAGACACGCACAAAGTCCGCCTTCACTCCCCGACGTTGGGAGCCCGCCCGCACGTCTCATCACGCCAAACAACACAGGGACGAACAACAGTTTCATCCCGAACAGCATCACCTCCAACATCACCTCCAACCCCAACAACAATCCCAACGGTAACGGCAGCTCCTACTCCACAACGAACAATTCCATCGCGACTCCCACCGCGCTCACCCCCGGTCCTGGCGCTAATATCCTCCTCGGCAGCATCGCAGCGGGCACCTACTCCCCCGCCGCCTCGTCCGCATCCGGGCCCGCGTCCTCCGTATCTACACCTTCGTCTTCGCCTTCTATATCGAGCAAGGCGCCCTCTGTGTCTGCGACGACGACGAGTACATCGTATTTCAACGGCGCTCATCACCACAATCATAATCAGAACCAGAACCAGACCTATAATCAACATCACGGCCATAATCAACACCACCATAATCCGTCGACCATCTCTACCTCCACGTCTACGTTGAACACGAACACGAGCACGACGTCGCTCAAAATCCCAAACTCGCCGCTTATAAGAACTCCGATCGGACCACGCATGCCTTCCAACCCCGGCTCATCGCGCAAATCGCAAGGATCGACCACGAGCGAGACATCGACGCCTTCTTCCGCGAACGTTCCTTTACCTTCATCCCAAGGCCAGGGCCAAGGGGGGAATCAGGGGAATCAGACGATGCATTCGGACGTGTCGAGTGTGAGGAGGTTGGCGGCTACGAATGCGAGCTCGTCGTCACTTGGGCCTGGGAGCTCGCATATGTCGCATGCTAGTTCTGGTGGTGGTTCGGGTGGACATAGGGACGGAAGGGATGGAAGGGACGGAAGGGACGGAAGGGATGGAAGGGATGGGAGAGAGAAAGGGGACAGAGAAGTCCATTCGACAGCGTCCAGCTCGAACCTCAAAGCCTCCTCCTCCTCCATCTCCGCCTCCTCCACCCTCCGCCCCTCCCCACCCTCCCTCCCACCCCCGCCCCCCAAACCGAACCCCAACCCAACCCTACCCTCCCAAAC